CGTTATCAGCACGAAACCCTAGCCACTGAGTAAAACTCTAGCCAGTGACAAAACTCTAGCCGATTGAGCAAACATAAACCGCCGCCAAAAATTTCTAGCCGACATCTCTTAGCTCTCTCCGTTTCCAATCTCCGATCTCACTAGCACCTTATGAGATAAGTAATCTCATYKTTATAATCGATCATCTCATGTTTTATTGGCTATCGCTTTATTCAATWTGTTATCGATTATTGAATCATGGTTTATTGTTTGACCCGTTTGTTTAATTATCGCTACATCAAAGTGTTGATCGTTTATTGCTTTGTGGTTTAGTTTCGTTTTCTATTCGGTCTAGTCTTTAGTTTGGTTATGAGAACAAATAAATTAATAGGTCACTAAGTTCAAAGCCATATACGGTCGTGGGAGACTATCAATTTATTTTGGATTTCTTGAGGRTTAGTTGTATGGTTCGTTTTAGTTCTCTCAAACCGAATGCATTATTTACTGTTATAATTTGAATTAGTCATTATTTAGAAACTGGCCTTATTTCATCGATACGTTTCGATCGCAAGTTAATTTATATCTGGAATTCTAAATGAATTATATATATTAAATCTGGATTTTATGTTCACCATGGATTTACACTGAATAGTTTATTCTGTATTGATTTTGATTTCTGAATGAATTTTGCATTGACCAGATTTAATAAGGAATAGATGTGACATAAATTCAAATTTATACAGAACACTTATATAATAAAATATTGTGATTTTATATGGTTGCCTGCTTGCTTGTTTATTCTCATGTGCAGGCTACTTTTAATAAATTTTTATTTCATGACATATCAGTAAAGATTATTAGATATGATAATAACGTAAAGGCCATGTTTTCATAAGCAAAATTTTGAATATCTCAGGTTTATATATATTCTTTATGAGAGACGAGATTTTGTATGAGATTAATTCTAACTAGTTGAGAAACAAACTGTTTTCAAACACCATCTCTATGTCAGATCTCCGATCGTCGATTCTTCTTGTTGAGATAAGTATTTTTAACTTTCATGCTTTATATCTATACATACATGGTCAATTAAATTTTGATGGTAAAATAATATATATGAAAATTGACACATGTGATCTGATCTTTATACATGAATTGATTGACTGGTTGAGAATCTTGTTTAGTTGCATGATAGTAAGGAATTAGTGGCTGTAATGTTGTGTTCATAAGATTACTATTTCGTCTTAACTTCATAGAATGCTCATGATGATTTATTTGACATACTTTATGATTAGATTCTTTGTCATGGTCCAAACCCAAATAAACCCCCAACCCTAAGGCCCATTCGTGTGGCCCATCTTTACCCCTAAAAAACCCTAACTCTCTCCACACTCTTCTTCTATATAAGGGAGACGCCAAAGAGTGGAAGGAGTAGAGATCATCCTTGCAGCGAAGCTAAACGAAGACCAAATGATCATCCTTTTTCACTCGTGACCTAGCCGCCGCCACTGTTGTGTGTGTGAGTCGTGAGCTCCGGTGACCGGAAAGACCAAATGAAGGAGGAGCCAACGAAGGCTGTTGCGAGCAGTGACTTTGCGGGACGTTTTCCGAACGAACCATAGAGTTTCAGACGACGTTCCACATACGTCTGGATAGATCTCGATCCCAAGTTTCCACAGCATCTTTCAGATCCCGATTCCGAGGTAAGACGAGTTCACAAATCGTATTTGAATATCAAAAAAAATCATAGTTTTCTGAATCTGAAATTCTTAGTCTTAGATCCGACCAGAGCAATTGCGGGGTCATTTTCCGCCGAACCGTGAGCATTTAGTCGACGATCTACATACCGTTAGATAGAGGATTCTTCGTAGATTCCGTAGCTTTTTTCCGATTTGGATTCCGAGGTAAGATGAACCCGTAATCTACGATTTAAGGTTGCCCTAGATGTCTAACCAGATTCTGTTCTCGGGTTTCACAGAGCTAACTTTGGA